GTATAAATATGTACACCACACCACCTTGCACTGTGATGCTACATGTAATATTTTTTTCTTTTCTTTTCTTTTTTCTTTCTTTTTTTTTTTTTTTTGACAGGCAGAGTGGACAGTGAGAGAGAGACAGAGAGAAAGGTCTTCCTTTGCCGTTGGTTCACCCTCCAATGGCCGCCATGGCTGGCGCACTGCGGCCGGCGCACCACACTGATCCAATGGCAGGAGCCAGGTGCTTTTCCTGGTCTCCCATGGGGTGCAGGGCCCAAGCACTTGGGCCATCCTCCACTGCACTCCCTGGCCACAGCAGAGAGCTGGCCTGGAAGAGGGGCAACCGGGACAGAATCCGGTGCCCCGACCGGGACTAGAACCCGGTGTGCCGGCGCTGCAAGGCGAGGGTTAGCCTAGTGAGCCGCGGCGCCGGCTCATGTAATATTCTTAATCTAACTTTGTTGAAAACCTGTGTGGAAAATATATCAATCATGAATAAAAGGAGCCCATTTATAAATATTTTATATTGATCCCTCGATCAATCACTGAGGATACACTTGTTCCTAAGCCACAGAAGAAAAAGTGAAATCCATCCTCCAAATAAGCAAATGACTGTCACTATTATTTTAAAGTAAGGTGCATAACATAAATATATTTTTCTACAATGTTTTCATCATACAAAGCCTTAGAGAGCTATTGGGAATTATGTTAACTTGTTCGTGTCGATGCTTTTCTGGATTGTGACAGCTGGAGTGATGCTTTTGCTTTTTTAAATCCATTCATATATTGCCTAAATTTTTAAAACTGTGATATTTACACAATCAATAAGCCGGCCATTCTTTAAAGTATGATCCCTGACCGTGTGCCTGGTTGTAAGACCTGCCAAGGCCCTTTCAAAGCATAGGAAGTCATACTAGAAAGTAAAATGCCTGAACAAATCCAATTTTGAAAGTCAAAAATCTCTTCGACAACTGGGAAATGCAATAGTTAAGACTGTCATTTGATCTTTTTAATCTCTGGGAAAAAAAAAAAACAGAATAGCTACAAATCAATACTTTCTGAACAGGGAATTTTGTGGCAAAATCAGCCAGAGTCTACCTAAGCCTCAACATTTGCTAATGCCAGTCTTCAGGGGCTGGTTATTTGAAACACAACAGAAACATTCCTCCTGCTTTCAAGGTCAGCTTCTAAACACAGCATGGTGGATTGGAGATGGCCTCGCCCAGGAATTTAAGGTCAGGGTTTCTGTTGAGCAGGACCTCAAATCAAATTTTGAAACAAGCAAACCTTTCATCCTTTCTTTAGGGGCAGGGTTTTCTTCGAGAGAAAAGGGTTAGAAAAACAGGTCAGTGTCCTGTAAATACGAGGTTGTCCTTTGTTTTTACATACTAAATTAAGTATGCCTGCTTCATGTTCAGTGTCTTGTGCCTATTTTACTCTCGGTGTCTGGACAAATGAGTTTATATTAGAAAGCTCCATGAGGGCAGGAAATGTAGCTTTTCTTTATCATAAATCATCCAGCTTAAACTCCTCTTATCTAAGAGCTGGGGGCCTGGGGGAGACTGCGCACTTGCGGACCATAGGGTGTCCATCTGTCATTGGTTATCAGATTTCCCATAAGTCACTGATCAGGCTTGTACAGAACAGTTTACAGACTCTTACCTGCTCCACTGCATGGGGTTTTCACAAGCATCCGGTGAGTGAGCGAGCGTGTAGGGTCGCCCCTACTGCGGACCTGGAAGCCGGGTTTTCAGCCTCTCTTTCCAGGAACCGCTGATTCCACTCTTTCCGCAACCTGACTGACATGATAGCAGTTGAGTTCAATCAGTTCTATTCCTGAACACAAAGTACTGAAAAAACAGCTGTTCATCCAGGTTACCGAACCCAACGAGAATGCCCTTTGAAGTAAACTTGGGCGTGGGTAGGGCGCTTGGAGACAGGGGCTGGTCTACACAGAGAATCAGAAAATGACACAGTTCAAACCAGGGGACAGGATATCAGAGATCATAGCCCATGGTAGATGCTGTTTTGGCTGTAGCACAAACGAAATATATTTAAAAAAAAAAAAACACCTCACAATAGACTTCAAAAAGTAAGGAGTTTTATCTTGCTTAAAGAAACATTGTTAAGGAACGTAGTCATAGCATAAATTTCCAAATTGTATATGATCAAATTACAATACCCATCTGAGCCCTATTAAATATTACATTACTTTCTTAGTTCTGTTTGTCAATTATGAAATGAACTTTCAAGGGGAAAACTTCCAAGCACAAAGTATAACGGCAAAAATATATGGTAGGAAATTCAGCGTCCAATAATATCTAGGAGGGCTTTCACCTATAGAAATTTCTGTCATGGACAACACGGCTGTCAAAGACACGGTCTTCGAGAAGAAAGAGAAAAACGACTTCATTTCCTCAGATTGGTAAAAGGTTCATAGGCAAACTGGGCAGGCAGGAAGGCAGCAAATTGGAAACAGTTACTCTTTCCTATTCCAGAGCTGAAGAAATCGCGGCGAGGAAACAAAATAGGCCCGAGGAAGTATTAGGAAAATGAAATCTTGAGCCATCCCCGCCTGACTAAGGCCGGAAGAATCGGGCAACGTGGGGATGGCGCAGTTTTTCAGACATAACAAAGCAGTCAGAGACGAACTCCGAAAATGCCACGAAGAAAGGCATTTGAGAGCAAGAACAACAACAAGGGAGGAGACGGAAAGCTGCACTTGGGAACACCGGGCCCCCGGCGCCTCCTCTTCGGGGAGATGACCCTGAGCACCCCACAGTCCCTAACCAGCCGCGGCGACGCCTCGGGCGGCCACGGGCCCAGGACGCGGCCAAGGCTGTGTTTGGGATGTTACCGAAACCCTCACGGCCCCTTAGTGAGCAGCTTCCCGCCCCGACCCCCGCATCCCCGGAAATGCGGCCGGGCCGAGGGCCGAGCGAGGAGGGGTGGTGGGGGAGCCCGCCTCCGGCCGGCCCTGAGAGCGGCCGGCGGCCTCCCCTCGCTGCACGCCGCACGCCGCGCTGGGCCCGGGGAGCTCAGGGAGGAGAGAGCGCCCACAGCCGCAGGAGGGGAGCCTGGAGCCCGCCTCCCGCGTTCGCCACGGACTGCAGTTTTTTTCACGAGCCCTGTGTGCCTCCCATCAGCTTCCTCTTGGAACTGCTTCCCTTCTGTATTTTTCTGTGTAACTCCCAAGGCCAGTTTTCCTTCTCTGTGCCTGTGAGGAACTGGTCAAAATAACTGAGGGTTGGCCGGCGCCGCGGCTCACTAGGCTAATCCTCCGCCTAGCGGCGCCGGCACACCGGGTTCTAATCCCGGTCGGGGCGCCGGATTCTGTCCCGGTTGCCCCTCTTCCAGGCCAGCTCTCTGCTGTGGCCGGGGAGTGCAGTGGCGGATGGCCCAAGTGCCTGGGCCCTGCACTCCATGGGAGATCAGGAGAAGCACCTGGTTCTTGGCTTCAGATCAGCAGCACTGGCCGTGGCGGCCGTTTGGGGGGTGAACAAACGGAAGGAAGACCTTTCTGTCTCTCTTTCACTGTCTATGTCTCTGTCTCTGTCTCCCTCTCTCTCTTTCTCTCTCACTGTCTAACTCTGACTGGCAAAAAATTTAAAAAATAATAAATAAATAACCGAGGGTTTTCAAACACCATCTCTCATCTAGATCAGGTGGGGGGGGCGCGTGTGTGGTTTTTAAAAGAACAATAACAAATGCCTTAAAAACCCTTTAATGCCTTTTTTTTTTTTTTTTTTGACAGGCAGAGTGGACAGTGAGAGACAGAGAGAAAGGTCTTCCTTTGCCGTTGGTTCACTGTCGCTCCCCATCTTCGTGGAGGAACGACACAGGACCCTGCACTGTTCTTTCGTCTGCTCGGCCCTCCCCGGGTTTGCTGCTGGTTCTTCCCGGGTTGGCTACCGGCCCTTCCACCTCCGTGGAAGGGCGGTTCCCCCTGGCCACTTTCCCCACTTCCGCAGGGGAGCGGCACACCGCCGGCCGGCTCTCTCGGGGGCTGCTCAGGTGTTCCTTCAGATAGATGTTCCCCTTAGATGTTCCTGGTGCATGTTGTCTCTCTCCTCCTTTATAGTCCTCTTCCACCAATCCCAACTCTGCTACCCACACGCCGAGTATGCTGCTCTCCTCCAATCAGGAGCAGGTCCTGCTGTTTATTGGTTGAACTGGAGGCAGCTGTGTAGAAGCTGTTTTCTCCTCTCCCAGCGCCATATTGTGGGAGAGCAGATGCATAGAATAAGTCTTAATTCCAGTAACTTAGTCTAGTCCGAGTTGCTCCCAGTTGCTCCCCACAGTTCACCCTCCAATGGCTGCCACAGCCGGCGCATCACGCTGATCCGATGGCAGGAGCCAGGTGCTTCTCCTGGTCTCCCATGGGGTGCAGGGCCCAAGCACTTGGGCCATCCTCCACTGCACTCCCTGGCCACAGCAGAGAGCTGGCCTGGAAGAGGGGCAACCGGGATAGAATCCGGTGCCCGACTGGGACTAGAATCTGGTGTGCTGGCGCCGCAAGGCAGAGGATTAGCCTGTTGAGCCTTGGCGCCGGCCTTTAATGCCTTTTAAAAAAAACCACCTTTAGATAAAATTCTATGCATACAAATGACTATAAATAGCTCTTCATGTATTCAAGTTCGTAATTTTTAAAGTACTGCATATTGGTAGCTTTGGGATCCGCAAGGAGAGAAGGCCTACACTTCAGGGAATGGAGAGGCCCTACCCACACTTCCAGGGACAGAAAGTCCTTGTCAAGGTCCCTGCGGGTGCCTAAAGGTCAACCAATGAGGATCAGACCTGCCTCGACCTTTAACCCTCACACCTTATATCTATAAAAGAAGCTTTCCCACGCCTTATATCTATAAAAGAAGCTTTCCCAACCTCTGCTGCGCGATTTCCCTGGCTCCTGCTCTGTTGGGACCAGAAACCTCACCCGGGAGCGGAATCCCAATAAAAGCCTGTGAATTAATTGATTCATCTGGCTGGGAAGATTTGTTACGCACCGGACACCTTCCACATATATGCATAAAACTTTATTTAAAGGTATTTTGCATTGAGTAAATCTATTATTTACTTAGATAAAATATTTAGGAAGAACTTCAACAACTACTATTCACAAAGACTTTGTGGTCTCGGTATAAAAACATGACTTTGTTTAGTTAGTAGGAGGTTGATAGCTGTCCACCCTCTGCAGAAGTGCATCTGAAAATCCAGGGGAATAATACCTGGAAAAGAAAAGTTGCTATTAGATGTTTATGAAAAAGATTTGGCACCATGGGCACCAATGTTCAGTACAAGGCAGGTACCTGAAAAATTCTGCAAGTGAAACCTCAAATACACCCTGGGTAATCATGCTCCAGGAATGCTTGATGCACGAGGTTGGGGGCTACTGAGAGAGAGAGAGAGAGAGAGAGAGAGAGAAGGAAGCACTGGGCCGGAGACGTCAGCAAACATGTATGGGAGTGGGAGTGGTCAGGCGAGAGACTGCCATCCAGGGAGAACAGTTGGTCAGAGAGACTCTGTCCTCATTCCACCGAGGCATCCTGGTTGCCTTCAAGATCATTTCTCAGTGTGTGTTTTCATCAGATCTGCTCACCCATAGAAACGATTTCTAGGAGTATAACTCACACTGAAGAACTACTTAATAAATAGTTTACAAATATTTATACCACATAAATCTAGAAAATTCATCATTTTCATTGGTTCTTGGGCATCATATATACATTTACATTTATAAATTGAACATTTCATAAGTGATTTAGTATGAAAATATTAAATTATTGATTAATGTGATGTGAGATACATGCTGTGCCATAGAAACAATTTATATGTGTATGAAAGTATGTCAAGGGAAGTTTGGCAGTCATTCTAGAATATGATAGATGGATTTCTTAAATTTAAGGGAAGTGTAATTTTAAAATTTCCCAAGCACTCTAAACAATGACACCTTCACAGGCATTTTCCCCAGATCAAACCTCACGTTAGGGACTTGACTTTGTCCTTTGTTATCTTTGCAGCAGATCCTTGACTCAGAAACTCATAATTGACATTATACTAACTTCTTCCAAATTTGTCAAGCTAAGATGGGCAAAATAGAGCTGTATTTTCTCAACAGTGTGCTCATAGGCAGTCGTGGCTAAACAGATACGTAATATTCATACATGTGGGCATTTGGCCTAGTACCTAACATGTCAGTGTCCCATATCTGAGTGCCTCGGTTTGATGCCCAGCTAGGGCTCTTGACTCCAGTTTCCTACTAATGCAGAGCCTGGGAGGCTGCAGGTGATAGCCCAAGTAATTGGGCCACCCTTGTGAGGGAGCTGGACTGAGTTCCCAGCTCCTCAGCTTCAGCCCTGGTCCAGCCCTGGCCGTTATAGGTATTTGAGGAATGAATGAGCTTATGGGAGCTCTCTGTCTCTTTGCCTCTCAAATCAATAAATACAAACTAAAAATTTTTTAAAAAACATTTAAAAATAATCATATTTGTAAAACTCGCTTGAAGCAAGTTTCTCCTCTAAAGGCTGCTACCCTTCAAACAGGTGTCCTGTACAGTAGGTTTCTTCAAAGTGGACCTATGCTAAGGAGTTCACCACTGGTTCTGCGAATTACTCCTGTGTTTTAAAGCAGGCCTCACCGTTCTGGGCCTTCTAAATGTACCTGGGGCTGGCACTGCGGTGCAGCAGGTTAAGCCAATGTGATGCCAGCATCCCATCCCGGCTGCTCCACTTCAGGGGCAGCTCTCTGCTAATGCACCTGGGAAAGCAAAAAAAAGATGGCCCAAGTGCTTGGACCCCTTCTACCCATGGGGGAGACCCGGATAGAATTTCTGGCTCCTGGCTTTGGCCTGGCCCAACTCCAACCAATATGGCCATTTGGGGAATGAACCAGCAGATGGAAGATCGCTCTCCTCTCTCTGTAACTGCCTTTCAAATAAACAAATCTTTAAAAAAAAAAAAAAGTGTCCAACACCAAATTGATACCTCTTACATAAATGCAAGAGGTAGGCTTTTTAAAACTCGCTTAAAATTGTACAGTTTAACATGGTAACCACTAGCCCCAGGTGACTATTGAGCACTAGAAATATGACTAGTGGGTCTGAAAAACTGAAATTTAACTGAATTAAACTTAAAATGAACACTCAAATTATTATAAAACTTTTAAGCATCCTTAGAACAACTTATGAGTTGACTTTTTCAGCTGCAAATTTTACATAATCCAAATACAAGTATTTCTGATCAAATTTAGTGTCTGAATTATGATATGCTAGAAGTGATAAAATATCCACTAGATACTAGAACCCTATTATCAAAATGTAACTCATTAATAATTTTATATTGATTATAAGTTAAAATTATAATACTTGCATACATTGGGTTAACACAGATCAATTGAAGTTTATGTATCCTGTTTCATGGTACTTTTTAAATGTAGCTATCAGAAAATCTGAAATCATATTTGTGGCTCACATTCTATTCCTATTGGACAGTGTTGCTTTAAAGTAAAGGTCTCTTTAAAAATCAGTTAGGATCTGTCGATAATTCTTGAGGTCTCACTGATTTATTCCCAAGCCAACTGCCACCGCCATGCCTGTCAACCCAAAGACCAAAGGGACTGCACAGTCTCCAGGATTCCCACTGGGAGGAAATGCGCTCAGCACTCAGCTCCCTCTCCTCCCCTGCACAGCACACCGCTCGCGCTGCCTCACTTCTCAGAGGGGCAAACAGACCACAGATGGAGATTATCAAGTTGTCCACTAACTGCCAGAAAGCCCCTGTCCGACCAGTACCTATCTGATGCTCCGCTTCTCATCAGGAAAAAGTCCGGAATCCTATATTAGCACAAAGGGCAATTTGAATCTAACCAGAGCAATCTATGTTTTTTGTATTTGTAAAAAAAAAAAAAAAGGAACAAAAAATTTGCTTGATGTGCATTTATCATCAAAATAAATAGTGAAAAATACATGGCCAAGAACTGCTACATCATTTTCCAACATTTTTATAACATTAAATTTCATCCCCCTAATGCTGTTTAATCTCAATAGAAAGAGAAGTGAAAATAGAGGCGTTAAAAGAGGACAGTAACAGATATTTACTGAATTGAATTCTTCCTGTGTGTAAGCCCTTTGGCTAAACATTATCTCATTTAATTCTAACTCTATGAAACAGGTAATTATCTTTATCCACATTTTGCAGATGCAGAACTGTGGCTTAAAGGGTTAAATATTATCTCCCAAGTCAGGCAGTAATTACTTGCTACTGAGATAGGAATGAGGGTCTGTTTGACACCTAAGCCTTAGCTATGAGCCATACCCGCATGAAAGAAGCAAAGGAACAGAGGGAGAATCCTTGCCTCCGGCTCTCAGGGGCTGCTGTCTGTCCCAATTCTGAATGGCCTTGAAGAGAGTAACCTCACACAGACCCATGCAGACTGGGGGCTGTCATTTATATGGTCAGGATGCCAGACATGTACTGAGTGCCAGGCTGCACGGCAGGCCTCCTTCCCCAAATCAGATGTGTCCCCAAAGCCACTTCCCCTCCTGGGCCTGGGCGGACATCCAATAGGCAGAGGAATTCACAAAACACCTTCCTGGTGGGTGTGGAGGAGCCAGGCCGCAGCTTGGGGCTTCCAGGCTGCTCTGGGCCTCTTCTCTCCTACACGCTTGCCTTTCTAGAACATTTCTAAAGATCACTAAAACTGGAAAGCAATGTGAAATCAACATTCAGGCTGATAACATGTGAGAGAATGGATCCACCCATAAGCTGTTCTGTAAAGAATTCCCTTCTAATAGTTGTCACCAAGTACTTCTTGAGAATTAATAATTGCAAAAATAAACCATTTAAAATTACATTTGACAATTTTTGTAGAAAGACAGTTTCACATACTTCTTTAAGATACCATCAGAAACGGAAAAAGCTAGCCAAAATTCTTCTTCATAATTAGCAAATTCTTTTAAGAAATTAAAGAATTTTAGATTCACTTCAATTTATTTCCCTCTCTCCTCCTCTCTCAGTCTTTTAGAGAGAGAGAGAATCTCCCATCCTCTGGTTCACTCCCCACATGCTTACAACAGTGGGGCTGGGCCAGGTTGAAGCCAGGAGCCAGGAACTCAATCCAGGTCTCTCATGTGGGTGACAGGAGTCCAATTACTTGAGCCATCAGCTGCCGCATCCCAAAGTACGAATTAGCAGGAAGATGGTATCACAGAGCTGGGACAGGAACCAACTCATCTACACTCTTGCTCCTATAATCAGCTAGTTTTTAAAATGATTATCCTAGTTCACAGAACTCAAGAAGCTAAAAATTTACGATGGCATTTTCACAAAGCACTTGATTAAATTGTAATATCACAGTTTTTTTTTTTTTAATTTCCTCCAGTGCTCAGTTGAAATATTTCTAAAAGAGAGTAGTAAAAAAAACAAAACAAAACAAAAAACTTCTTTTAAAGCAAGCACCTTGATTGATTCTAATAGGCCAGTCCATTTGGGAGCCCTTTAGTTTGCTTTCTTTCCATTTTCCTCTAATTTTGTTTATGTTACAAAATTGAACTGAAAGTCCTTTTAAGTTTACATGAAATGACATTCTCCCTAAAGAGACATATATTCCATGCATAAAAATCCATTTTATTTTTCTTGATAAAATAGTTTCATGTTTCTTTCATTTAGTGGTTTCACACATATTTTAGGTTATACAAACTATTTTGGTATATATTTGTATATCTTTTTTTTTTTTTTAATTTCACAGGTAGAGTTACAGACAGTGAGAGAGAGAGACAGAGAGAAAGGTCTTCCTTCCATTGGTTCACCCCCGTAATGGCCGCCACGGCCAGTGCGCTGTGCTGATCCAAAGCCAGGAGCCAGGTGCTTCCTCCTGGTCTCCCATGGGGTGCAGGGCCCAAGCACCTAGGCCATCCTCCACTGCCTTCCCGGGCCACAGCAGAGAGCTGGACTGGAAGAGGGGCAGCCGGGACTAGAACCCGGTGCCCATGTGGGATGCCAGTGCTGCAGGCGGAGGATTAACCAAGTGAGCCACAGTACTGGCCCCATGTATATCTTATATATAGTAGTAGTTATGCATGTTATGATAGACTATTACTTTGCTACACTATATATGAATGTGTGTGTATGTAAGCATAAACTTGCAATTCTGGAAAGAATTTAGTGACTCAATATATGTGAAGAGGAAACAACTTTAATCTTAAAATTATTTTTGTGCCTTTAAAATTGCTGTCACCATGTATATTAAAACCGACTGATGCTAAATAAAATAAACACATAAATAACTGATAAAAGTTACATAACATGTACATGTTAAAAACTGAAGTTTATATCTCCTACTCTTGGGGCCAGCATTGTGTGGTAATGGGTAAAGCTACCAGCTATGTGTCATCAAGTGATTTCATGATTGTGTGACTCTGAGAGTGCTTAGTCAAACCTAAACGGTGCAGGTCAGTCACTCAGTGTGGCCTCCTGATGGCATCGGGAGAGGGGGTAACACAAGATGCATGACGTTGCTGCCAGCATCACGTGGCTCACTTTGTGGGAAGTTTTTCTAAGTGGAGGGGGTTCACTCTGACACAACAATAAAAAGCGTAGTACATACATAAGCCACTCGCCAGTGCTCCGTACTGCCCGTACTTGGATGCACCACGCTTTTAAAGGGCACGTAGGGCAGCACCGCAAGCAAAGGCTTGAGCCGTGCACTATGACACTGCCGTGGCTACAACAGCACCAGGCGACAGGAAGTTTTCAGTCTTCTGGGCCCACCCTGGTGTATGCAGTTGGTCACTCACTGAAAAGTTGTTAGGCAGCACATGACTGTGTGTTGTCAAAGTGCAGGGCAAATGTAAAGACGTTGTGAGTGGTGAGCCCTGGCCGGAGAGCTTCAAATCCATGCCCCCATGATGGACTGGCACCTCTCAGGCTCCCTTAGCTGTCAAAGGGCTTGCAGGCTAGAATGGGCGGCCGGAGCAAGTGCAGGGGCTGAGGAGGCAGCAAGGAGGCGGCGGCCAGTCTGCAGCTCTTACTTAAGCTCGGTGCTCCGTAACCACATTTCATCCAGTGTGATGCAGTCTATTACTTGTCTCAGAAACGTTCAACTCTTGGGGCTAGCGCTGTGGCGTAGTGGGTAAAGCTGCCACTTGCAAAGCCTGGCCTCCCATATGGGTGCTGGTTCGAGTCCCGGCTGTTCCACTTCTGATCCAGCTCCCTGCCAATGCACCTGGGAAAGCAGCAGAAGATGGCCCAATTCCCTGGGTCCCTGCACCCACATGGGAGACCTGGAAGAAACTCCTGGCTCCTGCCTTTGGCCTGGCCTAGCCCTGGTCGTTGCAGCCAATGGGGAGTGAATTAACGGATAGAATATCTCTCTCTCTCTCTCTCTCCTGGTCTCTCCCTCTCTCTGTAACTCTTTCAAATACATAAATAAAACTTAAAAAAAACTACATTATAATTTTTAATTTATTTTTTAAGATTCATTTTATTTATTTGACAGAATTACAGAGAGAGGTAGGCATGCAGAGAGAGAGAGAGAGAGAAAAAGAGAGAGAGAGAAGTCTTCCATCTACTGGTTCACTCCCCAAATGGCTGCAATGGCCAGAGTTGAGCAGATCCAAAGTCAGGAGCCAGGAGCTTTCTCTGGGTCTCCCACATGGGTGCGGGGTTCCAAGAACTTGGGCCATCATCTACTGCTTTCCCAGGCCACAGCAGAGAGCTGGATCGGAAGTGGAGCAGCCAAGACTCGAACCGGTGCCCATATGGGATGCTGACACTGCAGTCTGGGGCTTTAACCCCCTGCTCCACAGTGCTGACCCCCTATAATTTTTAAAATTATTTGTGAGTCAGACAGAGCAAGGGGGAGAGCGCTCCTATCCACTGATTCATTCCCTAAATGCCTGCAACAGCTGGAGCCAGGACTGTAGCTAGGGACTCTGACATAGGACATAGTGTCCTAACCATGACGAAATGCCCTGTGTCTGGAATATTACATTTCCCAAAGTCTGTGTTCCTCACCTTACTATTTCTTCTGGGTAGCAGTTGTTAATTTTATTGATATATTCTTGAAGGAGAGAGCCAGGTTCTGCTTTTATTTGCTGAATCTTTTTGAGGCCACCACTTGTAACAAAAAATCTTCGAGCTTTGCTGTCATGCGGCAGCACCTGCAATAACCAAGCACAGAAACAGGTCAGCCTTCCCACTCCAGGTCCCATTATTGCTGCCCGAAGTCATCACGGTACATCTGAGAACACGCGGAAGAGGACTTCCGCTCTCTGTACCTTCAAAAGGATGGGCCCGAATCTGCTGACAATGGGAGGTGAGATGTGCTCCTTCAGGAAATCCATTAAACTTTTTATGTTGTGGAGACAGAAGGAAGGCCGTGCCCATGAGCCAAGGTGCTGGAGATGGGCTCACAAGCGTAAAACGCGAAGTTTACACACACTCAACTCACTGCACTGCCTGCAAAATGAAAGGCAAGTGCCGGGACAGCGAGGCCAGGGCCCTGAGCCCCGGTGCCGCTCACCAGCCAAGCTCCATCCCAAGCTTTGTTTCAGGGACACCAAAGCAGACCTGCCGGGCCTCTTCTTGCTTTTGCCGGGGCCTCTTCTCTTCCTGGGAAGTCCTTCCACACCCACCACCTGCTCGTTTCCTTTGATTCTGGCTTACTCTCCTTTTTAACACAGCCCAAGTGTTTCCTCTGTGAAGAAACCTCCTCTGGGGCGCCCTTGGCCCAGGATGAGCTGGGTTCTCCCCGCCCCCACTCCCCAGCACTCTGTCAAACCGCTATCAGTGCATTACCGCATAAGATTTTAATTACCCATTTATATGTCTGTCATGTGTCAATGTCAGTGAAGGCAGAAACTATGCATTCATTCATTCAGTGACTCATTCAGTCACTTCCCTCCTGCCTACCGTCCTACAGATGCTCAACAGATGTTTAACAAATGAATGAGTTCACTAAGCAATAGGCAAAGAAAAGCAGATTAAGGAGATGTTGAAGAGATGGAAGAGGAGGAGAGAATCCATAAATCCAAGGGAAGATTTTAAAGGGCGACCAGTGAGAACTTAAAGGGGAAAAAAATCACTGCATTTGACAAGAGCGCTGCAGAATGAAGCGGAAACAGGTGCACTTGGAGGGTGGCTGTGGAGAGCAGATTACTACAGTTGTGAGTATGAAAGTCAAGCCAAACAGGAAAATTTCAGGAAGAGGCAGGTGTTGTGGTGCGGCTTCTTAAGCAGCCACCTGCGATGCTGGCGTCCCCTACAAGCAGCAGTTCAAATCCCAGCTGCTCCACTTCCGATCTAGCTCCCTGCTAACGCACCTAGGAAAGCAGTGGAAATGGCCCAAATGCTTGGTGCCTACATGCATGTGGGAATGTGGGAGACCCAGATGAAGCTCCTGGCTCAGACCCAGCTGTTGTGGCTGTTTGGGGTGTGAACCAGCAGAAGAAAGATTTTCTCTCCCTCTCCCCTCCCCCTCTCCCTCTCTCCCCCTCTCCCTCTCTGCCTCTCCCCCTCCCTCCCTCTCTCCCTCTCCCCTCTCTCCTCCCTCTCCCCCTCCCTCTTTCCCCCTCTCCCTCCTCTCCCTCTCTCCCTTTCCCCCCAACCCTCCCCTCTCTCCCTCTCTCTCCTCTCCCTCTCTCCCTCTCTCCCTCTCCCTCCTCTCCCTCTCTCCTCCCTCTCCCCCTCCCTCTCTCCCTTTCCCCCAACCCTCCCTCTCTCCCTTTCTCTCCTCTCCCTCTCTCCCTCTCCCTCCTCTTCCTCTCCCTCCCTCCCTCTCTCCCTTCCCCCTTCCTCTCCCTCCCCCTCCCCCTCCTCCCCTCCCTTTCCCTCTTCCCCTGAGATGGCTTCAGCAATGCAAAATGGCTGCTTCCCAGGAGCCACGGTGCTGGAGGCAATGCTGGAGGCACGGCTGGAGGTCCTGGCGGGTCCCTTTCACAGAGCACCTAGAACCGGCTCTGCTTCCCTGAAGGGCCTGCTTGCAATGCTGTAGATATATGGCTTTTGTTTGTTATTTACAGAAATGTAGCATGCAAACAGTCGTGCATTTATTATAGTATTAAAGCTATTAAAATGAAATTGCTCCCCTCTGTTTAAGAAAAACATTTTAATATAATCACTTGCATGTTTTGTTACTTACAAAATGACTTTTTGGTTGTTTCTGGTATTAGAGTGTTCCATAGGTTGGTATCACATTCTTTTTTTTTTTTTTTTTAAGGTTTATTTATTTGAAAGTCAGAGTTACACGAGAGGAGAGGCAGAGAGAGAGTGAGAGAGGTCTTCCATCTGCTGGTTCACTCCCCAAATGGCAGCAATGGCCAGAGCTGCGCCAATCCAAAGCCAGGAGCCAGGAGCTTCTTCCAAGTCTCCCACACGGGTGCGGGGTTCCAAGGACTTGGGCCATCTTCCACTGCTTTCCCAGGCCATAGCAGAGAGCTGGATCAGAAGTGGAGCAGCCAGGACTCAAACCAGCACCCATATGGGATGCTGGTGCTTCAGGCCAGGGCATTAACCTGCTGTGCCACAGCACCAGCCCCTGGGATCACATTCTTAAAAGTGGAATATCTTTAATCTCTACAGTGATCCTGTGAAATAAGCACTCTTAGTATTCCCATTCTGTGGGTAAGTTAGCTAAGGGGAGACTCACGAGCTCTGACTCCAGGGCCAGGGCGCACTCCTGCTGTGCTCCGTCACCCATGCAGAACATGTGGAGCACAGGGTGACAGTCACCCGAGCACCAAGCACTGTGCTGGTACAGCCGTTCTCTCATCCCTTGCTGTCATCAGGGGTCCCGTCTGTGGTGGTGCCCACCTCCTGCAGTCTGAATCTCCTTCCTTAGCACCAGTGACTGCCACTTATAAGATCTCAGCAGTGTCCCCCAGGGAGGGCGACTTCTTTGTATTAAGAAGTTTCTATGGGCCGGCGTCGTGGCTCACTTGGCTAATCCTCTGCCTGCAGCGCCAGCACCCAGGGTTCTAGTCCTGGTTGGGGCACCAGTTCTGTCCCAGTTGCTCCTCTTCCAGTCCAGCTCTCTGCTGTGGCCCGAGAGAGCAGTGGAGGATGGCCCAGGTGCTTGGGCCCTGCACCTGCATGGGAGACCAGGAGGAAGCACCTGCTCCTGGCTTCGGATCGGCACAGCGCGCTGGCCGTGGCGGCCATTTTGGGGGTGAATCAATGGAAGGAAGACCTTTCTCTGTGTGTGTCTCTCTCTCTGTCTACTCTGCCTATCAAAAAAAAAAAAAAGTTTCTATGTGTTGACATACTCATTACTTCTTGGGAACATTGAGAGAGAGAGAGAGAGAGAGGCTGTGAAGAATGCGGGAGGGAGCGGGGGGGGGGTGTTTTGTTGTGGGTGAACTGCAGGAGCTGACTGGCGGAGCCTCGTGCAGGAGCCAGCACAAGCTAGCAGGCCGTGGCGCTCCCTCGCCGCCTCCTGGCGCAGACAACGTCTCTCACCTTGCTGAACTGCTCCAGTACGTGCTTCAGGATGTTGGGGGGCGCGTCATGCAGGAGGGGCTCCAGGGCGGGGACGTGGGTGCACTTCTGCAGGATGTTCTTCATGGATTTCTCACACTGTGGAGACACAAAGCCAAATGCGTGCGAAAGCGAGGGGTCAGCGGGAGCGCCACAAGAATCCGTGTCCCACATTCCTGGAGTTGGAAGATCAACTCCATTTCCCAGTCTCTCCTGGGACTGCCTTTGTTTTTAAAAATAGCGGTCGGGAAAACGCCTTCCACTTTTGATTAGTTTTTTCACAGACTACCTTGACAATGGTCTTGGTGTTAAATCATAAAACATATAGTGTATAATTGAGCTCCTAAAATACCTATGAGGAAATTAAAGTTGTAAGGCATAAAGTTAGAGCCCATAAATTCACACATTTTTATTTTATTAACGTAGAAGTTTATATGTATTGAAACTGTGAAATAACTAATATTCCGTTTCTTCCCGTCGACAACCAGGAGAAAATGAGTCTGTTTGCTATAGGATGCCGTTATCAGGTATTCTGCGTTCACCAGAGGTTTCCCAGCTTGCATGCATGTGGTCAGAAACGTGCAGCTCGAGCAGCGCTCACTGAGTATTTGCAGACAGCTGCCCCAAGGCATAGGCAGAAATTTCCACATCCACGGATGGAAGCAAAACTCCTCGACTCTACTTGATTGCTGAGAGACGCTCCTCTCTACAACAGCCAATGTGCCGCCCCCGAGCAAAAGAGCAGGTGCCACACGTACCTCTCCCACTCCCCCCGCCCCGCGTTCTTCCCTCTTTCCAAGCGACACCACAGGGTACTGTCCCCTGTGCCCCCCTCCAAAGCTGCAGCCAGCTCCAAGGCCCCGCTGTTGCTGGTTCCTTCTTCGTGTCGGGGCTGCCTCCTCCTCTTTGGGAAGCCTCACACAGCCGTGTGTCTGTGGCTGTTCGGTACGAGAGTCCACACCTGCCTCTGAAGTTCTGGGCCTCAGTGCAGCCTCAGGGCCTCCTGTTTCCCTGCTCTCACTCTGAGGCCTCAGCCAGTCAGGTCTTCTGGGATCGTGGCGTTGCTGCTGAATGCTTAGCGGTGCTCTTGGACTCAAACAGCCCTTTTATTTTCACACCATGAATTTTATACTTGGTAAGTGGGCTCAGAAAAACTTTCATAGCACATTTGTGCTATCAGTAAAAGATCTCTTAAATGTAAGGTTTCCCGGAGACCCAAACTAAAGAGTCTTATAACCTCGTTCCTCTCCACATATTTGCCTTCAAATGCTGTTTTATAAATTAGATTACATAATGTAAGAAATGCAGTCCAACTGTTTTCCACAAGTAGAACAAACCAACACTGGCATTAAACTCACTTCTCAACACACCTGGGTACAGTAAGTACCGCTGCAAACCATCTGCAGTTTACCCTCACTGCTTTCAGTGACGTCAGCTGCTGATGCAGAGCAGAAATCACATCCACTGAGTCATACTCGAGGTGCTGTCGGTCACTAAGGAAGAACTCTAGAGAGGATTCCAATGACACAGGAAATTCACTGAGCTTCACTATTTTTCATCTGAAAGAAATAGGCTTGAGCCGGTGCTGTGGTGTCATGGGTTAAGCCATCCCATAAGGGGGCCTGCTAGAGTCCCAGCTACTCCACTTCCAATCCAGCTCCCTGCTAATGGCCCGGGAAAGCAGCGGAGGATGGCCCAAGTGTTTGAACCCCTGCAACCACATGAGAGACTCAGAAGAAGCTCCCACCTCCTGGCTTTGGCCTGGCACAGCCCCAGCTGTTGCAGCCATTTGGAGAGTGACAGCAGATGAAGACCTCCCTCTCTCTCTCTCTCTGTAAATCTGCCTTTCAAATAAATAAAACAAAATTAAAAAAAAAAAGAATCAAAGTTATCTAAGCCTCATAAATATAAGGAGAAATTCTTTTTATTAAAAAAAAAGAAATATGTTCAATTTACAAATATATTCTTCCAGGTAAGAATGTGCTCACATGCTGTGATCAATAATCAGCTGTAGCATCCAGCATGAAAGAAATATTAGCTAATTAAGATTTTTAGAAAAACATTTATTTTTTGCTTATTTGAAAGACAGAGTTACAGAGAAAGGCAGAGAGAGAGATGTCTTCCATCCCTGGTTCACTCCCCAAGTGGCCAAAGTGGTTGGAGCTGAGCCAATCTGAAGCCAGGTGTCAGGAGCTTCTTCCAGGTCTCCCACGTGGGTGCAGGGACCTGAGGACTTGGGCCATCTTCTACTGCTTTCACAGGCCATAGCAGAGAGCTGGATCAGAAGTGGAACAACTGGGACTCGAACCATTGCCCATATGGGATGCCAGTGCTACAGGTTGGGGCTTTAACCTGCTGTGCCACAGTGCCATCCCCTAATTGAGATTTTGTTTACATGTCTAATTCTGACCCTGGGATCTTTAAACAACTTTACTGAGATAAAATTTACATATCATAAATTCACACAGTTCAAGTACACAGTTGATGATTTTTAGTAAGTTTATAAAACTGTACAATCATCTCCACGATCTAATTTGCGTATGCTTTCATCTTCCCCAAAAAGAAACCCCATGCCTATTTTAGGCATTTCCTAGTCTCTCCTCCCACAACCCCCAGCCACCTGCAGGCAACTACCAATCTATTTCTGTCTCAATAAATTTGGCTTTTCTGGACGATTCATAGAAATGAAATCACACAATATGTGAACTTTTGTGCCTCTTTCACAGAATATCATATTCGTAAAGTTCACCCTAGACAAAGTATGCATCAGCACTTCCTTCCTTGTCATTATCAAACAGCACTGCGTGATACAGATTTACCACATCTCGCTTATCCATTCACCAGTCGGTGGACACTTGGGATGCCTCCACTTTGGGCTTTTATGAATAATTCCGCTATGAAGATTCATATACAAGTCTTTGTGTGTCAAATGTTTTCGTCTCTCTTGGGTGGACACCTAGGAGTGGGGCTGTTGAGTAATGATGACACGTTTACGTTTAACATTTTGAGGAATGGCCAACATTGTCAGCATGACTGCAGCATCGAACGTTCTCACCAAACAGTGGGAGTGGGTTCAGGCTCTCCACATGGCGGTCAGCACTTAACTATTTTCAGTTTGACTGATTACAGGATTCCTGTGGTTGTGAAGTAGTACCATTATTTTTTAAAGTTTTTTGAATTTTATTTATTTCATTTATTTGAGAGGTAAAGAGGTAGAGATAAGATAAAGGGAGAGGCAGACAGACAGAGCTCTCACTTGCTGGTTCATTTCCAAAATGCCCATACCAGCTGGGGCTGGGCCGGGCCAGGCCTATCCTAAGCTGGGCCCTATCTGAGCCATGCCTGTCTCATCTGGAGGTACATCAGCAAGAACCTGGAATCAGGAACAGAGCTGGAGTCAACCCAGGCATCCCAACAGGCAGCTTAACCGCTGTGTCAAACACCCACCCCTCCTTAGGCTTTTGATTGCATTTCCTTGGCGGCTAAAGGTGTTAAACCACTTTTCAAGTGCTAATTGGTTATTTGTATACCTTCTTTGGTAAAATATCTATTCGAGTTTGTTTAATCAGGTTACTTGCTTTCCTATTACTGAGTTTTGTTTTGTTTTCTTTTAAGATTTATTTATTTGAAAGGCAGAGTTACAGAGAGGGAGAGGAACAGGGAGAAGCAGAGGCAGAGAAAGAGAGAGGTCTTCCATCCACTGTTTCACTCCCCAAATGGCCACAATAGCCAGGGCTGGGCCAGGCCAAAGTCAGGAGCCAGGAGCTTCTTCTGGATCTTCCACATGGGTGGCAGGGGCCTAAGCACTTGGACCATCTGCTGCTGCTTTCCCAGACACATTAGCAGAGAACTGGATGGGAAGTGGAGTGGGTGGGACTTGAACCGGTGTCCACATAGGATGTCAATGCTTCAGAGGGTGGCTTTACCCACTAGGCCACAGTGCCTGGCCTCCTTTTGTTGAGTTTTAAGAGCTCTTTATATTTTTTTAAATACAAGTCATTTGTTACTTATGAGTTGCAAATATTTTCTCCAAGTTTGTAAAGCTTACCTTTTCACTTTCTTAAAGGTGTTAAAAAAAAAAAAAAACAGCCTTAATTCACTTTATTGCTCTTCTGTAAACACCCATGTTGTAGCCACGAGTGGAGCCAGGGTCCTCAGCATAAACTCTCTGGTGTGGGTCTTCACAGATGCTCAGTGAATTCCTGATAGGGAAACTTGGGGGACAGTGCCTTTCCGGAGGTCAGGGGTCAGAGAGCTGGTAGCATCAGAGGTGTCCTTGGCGAGGCTGCCCAGGATGGCAGTACAGCCCTTGGCTGAGGTGTAGCAGTCATCAGTGTCAGCCAGCAGCTGCAGCTTCTTGAGGACGGGGTGGAGATTTTGCCAGTGCCTCTGGGAGTGGGGATGAGGCACCAGCACAGAGCCACGGCACGCAAGGCCCAGTGTGGGGCTGGCTGATCTTCCCCCAGTAGCCTCTCCATACGGGCACAGTGGAGAGCTTGGCCAGATGACGGCCCCTCACATGGTAGTGGCTACCTCCCTGGAGCACTTCACACCCAGGTCGACATGACCATGACCGTTGTAGTCCCTGATGGCGACAAATAATCTTCAAACCCTCATCCTCAGGAAAAAGTCAATGATCTCAGACTCCTTGATGAGCAGGACGAAGAGTCGGATCTCTTCCAGGGACTTGGTCTTCATGTCTTTGGCCAGGTGACCCAACTTAGTAACGGGGAGCCACTCCTTGTGCTTGATCTTGCCTTCGTGAGCTCCACAGCCTCTGCCCCAGCCCTGACCTTGACTGTGATGATGGACCCCAATGCCACTGCTGAGCCTCCCATTCCAGGGCCCCCATGGCCTCCAGGCCCTCCTGCTGCATCAGCATCATCCACCATTTGGTATTCTCTTGGAGAAGCTTAATGATGTCTTTTAAGCATCAAAGTTTTTAATTTTGATGAAACTTCAACATTTTTTTTTTATCACTTGTGCTACAGGTATCATATCTAAGAAATCACTCAGTCCAAGGTCACAATGATTTGCTCCTAAGTTTGTAGTTATAAGGCTTATATTTAGATCTGTGATGGGAGTTAATTCTGGTGTGT